ATGAAAAGTTTTAAAGACAGACAAAAGACAATAAAGATTTAATAGACACTAAAGGAGAATTGATAATCGATGACCTTGATGATTGTTATGGATGAGGAGATCTCGAAAGGAATTCGATTGGGAGAAGAAAAGAAAAGAAACGAGAACATTGAGAGAAGATCATTCAAAAGGTGTTCTGTCAGCACAAACAAAACGTTTCCAAAATCAATTTGTAGTCGATTCTGTAAAGAAATGGTGAAACAGGAATAGATTCTCGTTTCAATTCAATGTAATACATAGAAGTCAATCTAATACATAGGAGCTAATACATAGAAGTCAATCTAATGCATAGAAGTCAATCTAATACATAGAATCTAATACATAAAAGTCAATCTAATAGATAGAACCTAATAGATAGAATCTAATACATAGAATCTAATACATAGAATCTAATACATAGAATCTAATACATAGAATCTAATACATAAAAGTCAATCTAATACATAGAATCTAATACATAGAATCTAATACATAGAAGTCAATCTAATATCTAGAATAAAAGAGAATTGATGAGAAAACACTAAGCTAGTGTTTAGAGCCTAAGCCTAAGCTGGCGCTAGCTTTAAACCAAGCACAAGTTTAGACCAAGTTTAACCAAAATCAAATAGTAGTAAAAGCAGTCTAGCCTTGAACTGGTCTAAAGCTTGATCCTGGCTCAATCTCAATCACTATATTTGTAGTTTTGTATTATAGTTTTGTATTATAGTTTTGCATTATAGTTTTACTTTCAAGATATTCTCCAACTCTGGGCTTTGTCTTTGTCCTAACCTGAATACGTTTTTATTAGCCAAGACAGCTTTTAGTTAGCTTTAGCCTAATCTTACCGGCCTAATCCTAGATTGATTTTGGTTAAACTCGAGTTAAACTTGGGCCTAGTTTAAAGCCTAGTTTAAAGCCTTTTAAATCCTAGTTTAAAGCCTAGTTTAAAGTCTAGTTTAAAGCCTAGTTTAAAGCCTTTTAAAGCCTAGTTTAAAGCCTAGTTTAAAGCCTTTTAAAGCCTAGTTTAAAGCCTAGTTTAAAGTCTAGTTTAAAGCCTTTTAAAGCCTAGTTTAAAGCCTTTTAAAGCCTAGTTTAAAGCCTTTTAAAGCCTTTTAAAGCCTAGTTTAAAGCCTAGTTTAAAGCCTAGTTTAAAGCCTAGTTTAAAGCCTAGTTTAAAGCCTTTTAAAGCCTAGTTTAAAGCCTAGTTTAAAGCCTTTTAAAGCCTAGTTTAAAGCCTAGTTTAAAGTCTAGTTTAAAGCCTAGTTTAGAGCCTAGTTTAAAGCCGTCAGCTTCGTCTTAGTCTTATATCTACAAAAGGAAAATCTAGAAATCATTGCTAGTTTAAGAAAGCGATAGAAATAGAGTTGTTTGGGTAAAGAGATTGGAAAGAAAATGTCCTTGAAAAAGGCTGTTAATCTCACATCAGGGGATCCAATTCTAAAGAAATTGAGAAAAAAAGAAATTTAGGATTGAAAGATATTGCAGAATGATATTGCAGAAAAAAAGAGGAAATAGATTTATTCTCAAAAAGCTATTGGGTTGGTGAATTGAAAACTGCCGGCTATTGTCATATGTGACAGTTTGAGCACTTTTTTCAAAAGAAACCCATTTTGGTGCCAATGGAAAAGTTGTAGAGAATCAAAAATGAAGCTTATATCCGAATTTCCAAAAAGATGCACTTGGTAGTTTCGCTTAAAACTTAAAAACACAACTTTCACACAAAAATGAGAGGAAAGCAGAAAAAACAAATGAAAGATAACCCAAAAACAAATGAACAACAGTTGCCTTATATAGGCTTTAACAAAAGATACACAAGACTAACAAGCTACAAAACAATAAATGATTTGGGGCGCGAAATAAAATGAAGGCGCACCGATTTCCTCAATATTTTTCCAATTTTTAGGCTGTCAGAGTTAGATAACTTTTAGTGGCTATTCGCCACACTATTCTTCACATGAAAAAGTTAGCAAAAAATCTAAAATTGTTGTGCAAAGGGCAAAAACATCTTTTTGTTGTTTGTGTTTATCAACACACAAATTGTCAACTCGCCGACCCACAACTGTATGTCAAAAGGAGCCAAAGGAGTACGTGAAAGAATTGCAAGAATTTTTTGAACAAATCTTATATCTGTCTTACTTTGGTAAATGATAAAACTCTTTAATAGTATTGCGGTCCAGTAGGGGGTTGAAAAAATAGTAGTGCGCACTACTATTAGAGAGAATACGGTAATTGAATCATTGAATGAGCAAGGGTGTACCAGAAAGAATGCGTTTAGGGTTGAGGCATGATTCAAAGTACTTTTCAAAGTAAATCAAATAGAAATTCGCAACTAAACACAAAGAAAACCGAGATGTTCTTCGTTATTTCTCAACAATTATCTTCTCGATTCAATCCAATCATTTCTTTTTCTTTTATAAAAGAAAAGGCTCTTCTTTTATACAAGAAAGGGCTGTAAAGAGCCGTAAATGAATCTTTAGAAAAATCGGACAATAGAAAAAACACTGAATCATCTTTTCTAATCACTTTCCTTTTCTTGTTTCCTTTATTGAAACAATGGAAAACAATGATCAATGATCAATCAATAGCTCAGTTTTCCTATTGATCTTTTAATCAATCCTTTCTGGCAAACTTTCAGCACAAAGCCATTAATCGGTTTAGTTACCGTATTCTCTCTAATAGTAGTGCACCCTGAGCTCTCTCTAAATTCCTTGAAATCTCGAGAACCGCTTATCAGAACCTATCGATGTGGGGTCGGAAAATGTAGCTGACGATGAGATCTAGTGGAGGATTTGAACGTTGAGCTTCTGTGAAAGCTTGGAAACTGTAAAATCGACACCAACTCGGCTCCCCCGGGTGTTCAGCATCACTTTCCATAAGAAGCATTCATAGCATAAGAAACTCAGCATCACTTTCCACTAAGTTTCAGGATCGTTGCTTGGAAAGAACGGAATATAATAAGAATTGATATAGAGATATTCGGATGGTTGAAGTGGTCAATGGGGGTTATTCGGTTTATGAGCAGGGGATGCGGGTGAGTGAAATGCCTAGCGGTAATCGTATTTTCTAAGCTTTGCCTAAACTCCTTGAAATCTCGAGAACCGCTTATCAGAACCTATCGATGTGGGGTCGGAAAGTGTAGCTAACGATGAGATCTTGTAGGGGATTAGGGTGTTGAGCTTCTGGGGAAAATTTGGAAACCGTAAAATAGTCATCAACTCGACTCGGCCGGGTGCACTACTATTAGAGAGAGAACGGTATTCATTTCGATTTGAAATATGGCTAGAGTTTGAAGATGAATGAAGAATGAAGAATGAAGCTAATGAAGCTAATGAAGCTAATGAAGCTAATGAAGCTGATGAAGCTAATGAAGCTAATGAAGCTATAGTTTAAAAAGCAAGTCTCAGTCAAAAGTCTCAGTGAGTCTCAGTGCAGTCTCAGTGCAATCCAAACTCTTTCACAAGTTCATCAAATCGTTTGTTTACTTTAAAAATGAATGATGGAATGATGGAATGCTGGAATGCTGGAATGCTGGAATGCTGGAATGCTGGAATGCTGGAATGCTTTTTTAAAAAAAAGGATTCAAAAGAAATTAGTCGAAAATTTTTGACGTAAATTTCAATTCTTGATAAGAATGGGCAAATTGCTGTGATGAGAAAGGGGAAATTCTGTAGCTAAATCAAGCTTTTTCCCCCTTTTTTCCTTTCTTTTTCAGCTCCCCTTCCGGTTTTTATGATCCCGTAAAATCAAGCTCACGATTCTTCAATTCTCTCGTAAATTAATTGATCTTAAAATGGGTTTTTGCAATTTTTCAAGCGCATACAATGCGAGAGTTGCGTTCTATAGCTTTCTGAGCTCTCTGATAGACTGATCAACACGTTTTTGCGTTCTAAAGCTTTCTGAGCTCTCTGATAGGCACGATCAACACGATCAAAAACAAAACCCTTCTAGCGCACACAAGTCTTCACCTTTCTTCTGCTACTAAGTCGCTTTTGCTGACGAAAAATGAGTACCTAATTGTAAGTGCAATAGAAAGCATTGAAGAAAGCATCAAGTGTTTGCTATGTTTTACTCTTAGCTTCTCATTTTTAATAGAACTACGGATTCTATCAAGTTTCAAGAGCTTAAGTCAAGTTCAAGTCTTCCCTTTCCTCCTCCTTCAATCTATCAATTGCCAAGTTGATAGATTGTTGATAGATCAATTGCCTAGATAATTGATAATTGACAAACTGATCTCTACTAGGTTAGGTAGTCAGTTGGCTATCTTATAAAGTCAGTTGGCTATCTGTATTTTTGAATTAATCTAATCTCCTCAACTCTTTCTCCTGAAGAAATGAAGTCTTTCTCTTAAGAAGAATCTTTCCTTTCCCCCCTTCAATCCATCAATAGGCAAAAATCGAATATCAACTTGACGAAAAAAGGCAAAGCTTTTGAACAAAAGGAGAGAAAAGCGTGTGATGAAAAGCGTGCGATTTCACGGCAATCATTCAAAATGATTCGAACAGTTTAAGAAAAGATTTTATTCAAAAGCTTATAAAAGAAAATAAGTAAAGAAACGGTTGAAGAGATCAGTTCAAAATAATACTCTAGAAGAGGATGAAAACTGACCTAACCTAGGGATCAGTTTGTCAGTTTGTAGAGATCAGTTTGTCAATTATCAATTGTCTAGGATGACTGGAGGATGACCTATGCTCTAAAATTTAAAAAATAAACGATTACCTAAATAGAATAGAAAAAGATAGGATAAAATATACTTAGCCTAGCAAACAAGGGCAGGGAGAAGATCTTTTTTTAAACGCATAATGTCAGACACACTCTTCTGGCAAAGATGTTATCCGACCAAAGATGCTCAGTTATCCAACCATAGTTCCAGAATCCAACTATGACAACGAAATGCTAGATGCAGCTTTAGTGCTGCATCTAGCATTTAATCTGCTTCAGTTCTGAAGTAAAGTACTTTTGAAGATCAGTTTTGTAGACACATAATGTCAGACACACTCTTCTGGCAAAGATGTGTCGGCTCAGTGATTCAACCATAGTTCCAGTATCCAACTATGACAACGAAATGCTAGACAACGACAACGACGACAACGACAACGACAACGACGACAACGACAACGACAACGACAACGACAACGACAACGACAACGGCAACGACAACGACAACGGCAACGACAACGACGACGACAACGACGACAACGGCAACGACGACAACGACGACAACGGCAATGACGACAACGGCAATGACGACAACGGCAACGACGACAACGGCAACGACGACAACGACAACGACAAACGGCAACGACGACAACGGCAACGACGACAACGGCAACGAAATGCTAGACAACGACAACGATAACGAAAACGACAACGAAATGCTAGACAACGACACGCTGACAACGATGCAGCTTTAGTTCTGCATCTAGCATTTAGTCTGCTTCAGTTCTGAAGTAAAGTACTGCTTGAATTCTGAGATAAAGTTAGCTCTTTCTTTAGAAAGGGTAGAAAGTTAGCTAGCCTTTAAAAAAGAGAAAGAAATTGCGGAATTTGGGTGTGTCGATCGGTCCTTCAAGGCAAGAGTTTGAAGGGTGAATTATGCGAAGTGACACCCCTTGTGGATCCCTTTGAAGTGCAAAAAAAGTCTTTGTAGAGGAAAACGAGTGAAACCCCTTTTCTTTTAAAGACTTTTCCCTTTCGTTTCTCGATTTTTCTCGTGTCTTTGTCGTGGAGAAACAGGTTTTTTTTTGCAATCGAGATCTATAGGAAATCGATTCTAAACTTGAAACATCTTTTAGACTTTGAGAGGTTGTCTAAAAGATGTTTCAAGTTTAGAATCGATTTCCTATTGATGGCAAATTTCATCTCTGAATCAGCATCAGCTCAAAGCTCAAATTATTCAGTTAAACTCAGTTAAACTAAAGTCAAACGTCCAAAAGGAATTGTTTATTCTAAAAAGAAGTAGATGTGCTTCTATTTTTCAATCTCCGAAAATCGGTTGAGCAAAAAAAAAGATAAGGGAGTAGATGATAACGAAAATTAACATCTACTCCCTTATCTTCTTTTAGATTTTTTTAAAAACTATGTTAATTAATAGATTTTTGGCTCAAAAATGTATAAAAAATGTGTTTTCAAATAATTCATTAAATATATTAATAATAATTCATATTACTTTCTTTTATCACTTTTGTAACACCTATTTCAGTGTGTTCCCTGCGTGCACAAGTAATCGCGCGCTATCTGGCAAAGAATAAATACTCATATCCCGTCAATGATATCCAAATCCATATATTCTTAACGGCTTTCGCAAGGTAGGAAGCAACTGCAGCGGTGGTCCATTGGCAGAGTGCTCGCCTACGAGTCTAGTACTCGCAAATTCGAATCCTCTTACCCCTACTTTCTTCTATCACTTTTGTAACATTTCAGTGTGTTCCCTGCATGCACAAGTAATCGCGCGCTATCTAGCAAAGAATAAATACCCATATCCCGTCAATGTCAAAGATTTAAAACTGCTGTCAACTGGAAGTCATGCACAGTTGCCCACGTGATGCGGATACGTTGATGTTCCTTTTGTTCCCTGCCAAAAATCAACTAATGTGTGCCTGCAAGTTGACGACAAAATTGACAATAAATGATTGATCACAAGCTTTTATGTGTTGTGTTAAGTGCGCCATCAAAGTATGCTTCTTTCATTTTATCGATTGTTGTCATTTTTTGTTGTTTGTGATAAAAATTATCTGAAAAGTTGATTTTTTGTTCGTTTAATTGAGGAAGGAGATTGCTTAGGTTGCTCTAAAATAGATTTTCCAAAAGAAATAAAAGAAAGCAACGGTAAAATGATTCGAATGATTCCAACTTGCGAGCAATAGACTCGTTTGCGAGCACTCTGCCACTTTCCCACCGCTGCAGTTGGTGCTTACTTTACGAAAGCTCTTAAGAATTATGCTAAAAACGTTTTTGTCAGATTCCTCGCGATTAAAAGCTAACTAAATACAGGATCGGAAGCGAAAAATTCTGCGTTCGATTGTCTAAAATTTAGGGATCTAGATTGTTGCTGTCAGGGGATCTAGATTGTTGCTGTCAAGGGATCTAGATTGTTGCTGTCAAGGGATCTAGATTGTTGCTGTCAAATCAGTCGCAAGGATCTAGTTCCCAAGGGTCTAGATTGGCGTCAAGGATCTAGATTGCGCAGGGATCTAGTTTGCCAAGGTTTGCGCAAGGGATCTAGATGTTGCCGGCTAGTGTTGCTCAAGGGTCTAGTTGTTGCGCTGGGATCTAGTTGTTGCCAAGGCGGTTGCCAAGGGTCTAGATTGTTGCTCAAGGGTCTAGCTTTGCTGCAGGGTCTAGATTGTTGCTTCTATTAGAGAATTTATTGAACTCGATTGTCTAAAATTTAGACAATCGGATTTAGACAACTAGACCACTCTGAATTTCATTTCCCATTTCCACATCACTCTCCTTATCTTCCCTTATAAATTTTCTTTCAAAAACGTTTTTAATTTCACTGCCAATCTTATATTAGAAAGTTTTAAGTTTAGATTTTTCCATAGAGGAGTCACAAAGAAGATCTAAAGTCGACGTTTTTAAAAGATTTCAAGGGATCTAGATTGTCGCTTCTATTAGAGAATTTATTGAACTCGTATGTACTTCTATTAGAATAAATACTAAAGCAATCCTATTGAAGAGACAAACAAGACAAACAAGGCAAGGAAAGCTCTCTAAGGTCAAGCTAGTTTTATCGGCATATCTGGCCTTTTTTTCAGAGAGCTGACCTAGAAAATTTTCAGAACTAAAGCAGAGAAAAGGATTCGAAAAATGCGAATTGAGAACATTGAAAAGTTCGTCGATAAACTAGCCATAGAATGATTTATGGGTGAGAGGAGCACGTGACTTTTCTCTGGATCTCTCAAAGCCTGTTGGCCCAAAGCCATCAAACTAGCTTTTCTTTGAGCTTGATGCCTATCACTTTTCTCTTTTCTCATTTCTCCTCTTAAAAATTCTTCCATTTTTTGTTATTTTATGATACTTTCTCCTTTTTCTTTTCATCTTTTTTGGTAGAATCTGTAAGAAATATATTTATACTTTGATCTTTATAGAAAGAAATATATCTTCATCTTTATGATTCTTGTCGCTCAAACTGTCAAACCGTGTCTCGGCGTGGTTTAATGGTAGATGTCTTGAAAACTTATCAATTTATCAAAACTTTTCCTTATTAGGGCAAACGTCGCTCAAACTTGTGCAACCTGGCACTATCACAATTACTTCAACACTTGCGTGTGAAAAATCTTTAGATAGATTTTCATCTATCACGCGGCTTTTGGCAAGGCTTGAGGGAAGGCTTTAGGCTTGGGTCAAGGCTTGTGGCTTGGGTCAAGGCTTGTGGCTTGGGTCAAGGCTTGTGGCTTGAGTCAAGGCTTGCGGCTTGCAAAATTGCTTCAGGCACTCAATCGGTTCCGAAATCTGTTCTGAAAACATTTGGCAGTAAACTCAAAGCTTTGGATATAAGAAAAATGATTGTAAGACTTTAAAAAGCTATGCAATTACAAAGAAATTTACAGAAATTTACAGAAAAGTTTATTTTGATATAAAAAAAAAGACATTTTCAAGTTTAGAAATAGAAAAATTTACGAGGAATTTTATTTTTCAATCGAATAGCGACCTGGCGAATGAGAGAAATGGCACCCGTTTTGAGATTGAAAAAATGAAGAGAAATTTAATTTGAAAGCTCTAGAAAGTCTTGAAAATACACAACAAAATCATAAAGTTTTTTTTTTCGTAAAGAATTTGCACTTTTTAAGCAGCACCGGCTTTGATCACAAAGATGAGAATTTAAAAAAATAAATATTTTAAACTAATAAACTATCATCAGAAATCATTGGGGATTTCGTTTTTTCGAATTTCTCGTATGGATTGATTGAGGAGCGGAGACGAATCCCCGGAGTTTCCATTTCTTTCATCAAACAGATACCGTAATCTAAAGTTGATTTCTTTACTTGTAAGAAATATATTTATACTTTGATCTTTATAATTTCTTGTGAGACCGTGCCTCGGCGTGGTTTAATGGTGGATGTCTTGAAAAAGCACAATTTATCAAAACTTTCCCTTATTAGGGCAAACTTCGCTCAAACTTGTGCAACCTGGCACTATCACAATTACTTCAACACTTGCGTGTGAACAATCTTTAGATAGATTTTCATCTATCACGCGGCTTTTGGCAAGGCTTACGTCAAGGCTTTTGGCTTGGGTCAAGGCTTGTGGCTTGGGGCAAGGCTTGTGGCTTGGGTCAAGGCTTGTGGCTTGGGTCAAGGCTTGTGGCTTGGGTCAAGGCTTGTGGCTTGGGTCAAGGCTTTTGGCTTGAGGGAAGGCTTTTGGCTTGGGTCAAGGCTTGTGGCTTGGGTCAAGGCTTGCGGCTTATTAGGGCAAACTTCGCTCAAACTTGTGCAACCTGGCACTATCACAATTATTAGGTTGGCCGGAAAGTTCTTTCCGTTTTTTGACGCTAGATCTAACTTTTTATTTTACGCATCAAAAACGCCAAATAAAAAAAACAGAATTTCTCTACTCGAAATATTCACCGTCAACATCAATAACATCCTGCCACTTATCCGGCAACAAATCGATTTCGCGGCGGTAAAACTCACGTGGCTTCGAATCGAAAAACTGAGTGAGTGACAAGCGCACCATCGGACTATCATCTGTTCAGATATTTTGTCCAGAATCGTCCGATTATCATTTTTTCAGATCTCTGAAGCATCATTTGCGTGGAAAGATCTTTCAAAACGTCGAGGAAATGCGCTTGTCACTCACTCAGTTTTTCGATTCGAAGCCACGTGAGTTTTACCGTCGAATGTTTCGTCGAATGTTTCGTCGAATGTTTCGTCGAATGTTAAACTCTACGAATGTTTCGAATTACTTTTCTTTATGCAAAGGATCGGCCGGTTAATCGCAAGTTTGGTTGGTCGGGTCGACTTGGGCAATTAAATCGGTTTTGGATAAGAAAAGTATATTCTTTTGGCTTCTTACAGCTACAGATTCCTACTGCTTTCGTTCAAAAGGCCAGTAAAGCTTTGTAATGCAATGGCTTTGTCGCGAATGTGTTGATTACAGAATCAACGTCGTACAGAAAAAGTTCAGGCACTGTTAATGCTACAGTATGCCAGGTATTGAGCTTTAAGATTGAATATTCTTGCTTAGAGAATTGTAAAGGCTGTAAGGTTTTCTTCGCTCACCCCTCCCATTGTTGTTTGGTTCGCTTTTTCGAACATTTGATGATAATCCGAGCGCTGTCGTCAACCCGGGCACTTGACTCAATCGATGGAGTGAGGTCTGGAAAAGTTCAAAGTTGGCAAATATTTTCGATATCAAAACTTGTGAACTAATCCTGAACTAACCTGTCTTTGACCACTTGTAATCGATCCAACTGGAGTCACCAATTTCATCTCAATCGCTGAATGATAATGACCGATTGCTGAGTTGTTCCGTTGCTCTATCTGAAATCGATTATGATTTAAAGCTTACAGAAAAGCTGTAGTTTTTGTAACCGACCTGAAATCGACTTTTCCTTCCATCACTCACTCCTGAAACTGAAGCCATCGAGGAAGTGATTCCGTTTATTGAGGCTGATGATGAGGTTGAATCCTCGAGACTCATCAGCGATGATTTTCTAAATCATGGACCTTTAAATCTTTCTAGTTCTACTTTTCGCCAAATTCTTAGGTCTTACTGTAGGAAGGCTAGGTAAGTCTTGCTGTAGTCTTACTGTAGTCTTTCTGTAGCCTTTCTGTAGCCTTTCTGTAGCCTTTCTGTAGTCTTGATGTAGCCTTGCTGTAGTCTTACTGTAGTCTTGCTGTAGTCCTACTATAGTCTTGCTGTAGTCTTACTGTAGTCTTACTGTAGTCTTACTATAGTCTTACTGTCGTCAGTCTCGTGTAAGTCTTAATGTAGTGCGTATAAAAATACGAGTACATTCTAGTCCATCTTAGCTACAGTACTCGTGGCGTTTTCTAGTTTCTACGCTACTTTCCTTTGAGCCTTATAAACCTTACTGTAGCTAAGCTACAGTATCCTAGATATAGCTACAGTCTAGGTATATACAGTATGTCGTGTAGATAAGCTACAGTATCCTTTTGATCTCAACCTGATCGATTGCCGTATCACTTCCGCAAGAGAGGATCCCGGGCTTTGTCTCATCAACTTCAATTCGTCATTCTTTTGAGCGTATCCCTTTTCTGGATCCCTTTGTTGATATCCAGTCTCATGAATCTCATCATCCAAACGATTCTCGATCATCTCGGCGGTGTTCACTCTTCGTAAACCCTTCACCGGTGGTGGATTCGGGAAATCCCAGTGTGGTTGACTCTGGCGCCATGATTTTCGAAACTAAATTTGAATTTGAATAGAAACTTTAATGACTACAGTAATCCCTGGAGTAAAGGTGCGGCATTGTGATCCGAAAACAATGGAAAGGCTCAAGTGGAAATACAGGTGAATTTTATATTTTATGTATAAATCTAAGAGTGAAATATGAGCTATTGAGCTGAATGGGAAATGCGCCTGACAAAATGGTGAAAAAACTTCTCAAGCAATGAACTCGCAAAGCTTCTCAAACAATGAACTTCATTTTATCCGAATTCGGACTTTTGGAGTAGGGTAACTTTTTTGCAATAGCACCTTTTAGGCTTAACTTTAAACTGTTTTATCAGCTTTTTGGTACTTTTCCAATATCGGGGGAGCGGAAGGATTATCGGGGGAGCGAAAGGAAAATCGGGGAGCAAATTTTGCCCCCTCGAAAAATGCATTTCGGGGACTGTATTTTAAATGCAACGTTTTTTTAAAAACTTTAACGACGATGCGCTTCTCCGACATTTGTGCGTTCAAGGAATCGACGGCAATCGATTATTTCGTCACCAAAGGAGTCATCCAGTCGTCGTTTTGCAACTGTGCCCAATCGATGAAAGTCCGCTCAAAGGGAAAAGATCTATTTCGCTGGGTGTTAGATATTTAAGTCACTTTTGTGAACTAATATAAAGGTTGTGAGAGTAACGGGTAATTCGCGGATTTTATGGCGGTAGTTTGCATAATATAGGACATATGTAGCGCTGCCAAAATCTGCTCCCCCGATTTTCCTTTCGCTCCCCCGATATTGGAAAAGTACCAGCTTTTTTTGCAACTCACCATTCCCTCTCTTGGTCGTCCATTATTTGATGGATTTGGTGGCGGTGGTGGAGGCCAATCGATCGGCAGTGTTCCTGAATGAATCCCCGAATCACTCGACGAACCATCGTTTCCCGGAGAGTAGTCTCTATTTAGTGAAGAATCCTAAATTTGCATGATAAATTAGAATTCAAGTTTAATCCTTGTTTAGGTTTATTTAATGCTTTCTCTAAACGATTTCCTCTTCATTATTCACTCGCTTTCCTCGGATTCTTCACCGATTTTTGCATGCGGCTGCCTAATTTTTTCGTGTTTCTCATTTGCTTGGTAGCTTTTAGCTTTTATCTTAATTGATTTTTCTCTAAAAACTACTATGATTTTCTTTAGAATTCACTATGGAAATCGACGAATCCGGCAACTCTACGCCTCCTCAAAGCCGCTTATGGAAAAGTAAGCGCTTTTGGTAAAATTTTGATGAATAGCAATAAACTGTATATATTTTCATAGATTTGTTTAATTTTATAGAACTATAATATGCAAAAATATCTATTGAAGTAAGGAGTTGGGAGTGGGACAAATGCTACCTTTTTTCTGCGCACCCGGACATTTGCGCACCTTTTTTTCCGCACTTAGCCCATTAGCGCACCTTTTTTCGCGTTTTAAAAAAGCTCTAAAAAGCTAATATTAACCAATTTCTATTCCAAATGTTGTTTTTCTAGGTAATTTGAGGGTGTCGAATTCAAATTTTGACATGACAGAGCGTGTGGAACCAATTTGAAAGACAAAAAGGCTAGATCAAATTACAGAAAATTGTCGATTTTTCTCTTTGTATAACTCCGTCCGTTTGTTTCCACAAGCTCTGATATATCAAAATTTCGATTCTACGTCCTTTAATTAACTAGAAAAACAACATTTGGAATAGAAATTGGTTAATATTAGCTTTTTAGAGCTTTTTTAAAACGCGAAAAAAGGTGCGCTAATGGGCAAGGTGCGCAAATGTCCGGGTGCGCAAAAAAAAAGGTCGCATTTGTCCCACTCCCAAGGAGTTTATTTTTAGGAAACCGTACACGACAGCATAATCGACCCGAGACGGTACGCGGCGATGAACGACGAGCTGGCGCCTGATGTAGGATTTTGCTTTTACAATACAATTTTTCAGATATTGTTATGCTATTTTAATGTATTTTTGTAAATATTGTAATTTAATTCAAGCCTACTGTTACAGTTTTCATTTTAGGAACAAGAATGGGCGGAACTGTGCGGTGATGCTGACAAAATGACGCCTATTTTCTCATCTCTCCTCTGCCCACTTCAATACATCCTGATAGCCGAATATCGAAACAAGAATGCAAAGGTATATTTGCTTTTTAAAACATTTAAACAATGTTGTTAACTTGTTAATGTTGTTCTTTAGTTTTATCCCAGTGTTGATGCAGCTCTTGAAAGTATCACAAGTGCAAAGGTAATGGTTTATCTTAATTGAATGCTTGCTCTAGAATTTCTGGTATTCGTATTCGTATTCGATTCTTCTTCTAGTATTCTTCTTCTAGTATTCTTCTTCGAGTATTCTTCTTCTAGTATTCTTCTTCTAGTATTCTTCTTCGAGTATTCTTCTTCGAGTATTCTTCTTCGAGTATTCGATTTTAGATTAGTGATGTTCAGATACTTGTAAAGTTATGAAGTTTGTGCAAATTTTTCCACTTTAGGTTCATTTGTGCTCACATTTGCCTGTGCACTCGCCTCTCGGAATCGCTGATCAAGAAGGTCGAATAATTAAGGTATTCTATGATTTGATTTATTGATTTTATCCGATAACGAAAGTTTTAATAAATTTGACTGTCAAGGGCAAATATTTTTTGTTTAGACTCAATCCGACGTCGATACCGCTTCTTGTATCGCGATGCAAACGCACGAGAAGAAATTGGTGTATGGATGCGCTTTAGGAGTGGGTTCTTTACTTAATTGCTTAAGGAGTTAAGTGCGAATAGGTAATAATAAGTTGAAAATAAGCTGATATTAAACTGATAATAAGCTGATAATAACTTGTTAAGCTAAAATACATTTAATATTATCAATTGCACTTGTTTTAGGTAACTGATGAGCGCTCGCACTTTCACGTCCTTCCAGCCACGGATGAAAAGACGATAAAAGAGATGGATTGTGGGTGTTTAGTTTGAAAACTTAATATTTCGTTTATTTAATTGTTAATCATACGCAAACTTTAGTAGCACTTATAGCAAACTATCAATTGAACAATTTAGTGTCCGATATCTCCACGAAATCCATTGCCCCACTTAGAAAGGAGACAAAAGGATGCATCTTGTACACTTTCACCTATGGAAATCAACCTGTTATTCAGGTGCGTATTTGCATTATCAAACTTCAGGTTTTACTTATCTATAATGAACTTTTGTGACTTATCATGGTAAACTTTAGGATCGTGTTTGTTGTTGGACGGAACGATGTGTGACGATTTATTACGACCAGGTTATTTTTGATTTACAATTATTTGATGCTAGTAGTTTAGTAAAATTAAGTTACAGAATACATAAATTATCCCATCTAGAAACCTGTTTTTATTCTTTTTTCTAGCCTGGCTCCGATCCGTGGCCACTCATTCGTCACGTCGTGGCCCCGGAATGGGTCGGATTTAAATGGTCAGTTATTCGTTGAACTTACAACAAGATAATATTTAGATACAATCTATAGCTAATATCCTTCTTGGACTTGATTTTTAAACTTTAGTGAACCCGAAGAGACGAGCCAACGCCCATCGCTGCCACCTCCATCTCCACCAGAGCCAGGACCAAGATCAAGACCAGAAGCGGTTCGTTTTTGTTTACGAAACATTATTTTGTCTTAAACCTGGAGATCCTACTATTATAATTAATTGATCGTTTTAGCTCGGCTACAAAATTGTCGAGAATAGAGTCTTCGATGTAAAAGCAGAACCGTTTGACGAAGGTAAGTAACTTTTTCTTTCTTTTTCTTTTGATCCTACAAAAACATCAATCTAATAGTAAGTAGTATAGTAAGTTAATATTATTTAAAATAGTCTTTAGTTTTGCAGTTGTTTTATTTTTTCATAGTAAATTATTTTTAGATCCATGGTTTCCGGTGACGCTTGGCCTGATTGGGTTCGGCTTTGTTTTGGTGATTTTGGTGATGTTCGCCGGTTTCTTTGTGTATTTAAGGTAAGGTTTTAAGTAAGCTTTAAGTTTGAGGTAAGCTTTTGAAAATTTTAAACCAAACTTTTAGTAAACTATTTGAATATTCTAATTTTTATTTAGGCTATCGAGCGAAGGATGAAATGGATCTACCTTCTCGCCATTCGAACCAACCCCAACCCCTGCCTTACTTTTTAAAAGAAGTATATCTATTCAAAAAAAGAATATGTGATTTCTCGTGATATGGTGTCTTTTGTGTAAAATAATGCCTTTGATGTTTTCTATTGTATTTCAAATACCAACCGGCATCCTCTCATTCTTTATCGACTTGGCTTCACCCAATCGTCGATACACGGAAATCCTCTCATAAGCCGGATCATCAATGCCTATTTCATCGTCTTCTTGATCTTCTTCTTGATCAATCCCTTGATCTTTTCTCAATCTCAATGAGCTTTTTCCATTCCCGTGATCGATTGCATCTCGATATGAGGAGGGTTCGTTTGGAAGGTCCTAAAAGTCCTTAGATTTGCATTATCTTGAGACTTTGGGCGCAGAAATGGAAACACGACCTTTCTAGTGCACTAAACTCCAATTTTCGTGATGATTAGTGCGCCAGAAAGGCTGCGTTTGGCCATATTTGAGCATGTACTCACCCTTTGCGAAGTGCTTCTCATTTGAGGCTTTGGTTGATTTCGCTTCTGCACTTTCGAGTACTGTGCATCCAAGGAGAGATCGCGTTTTGGAATGATCTCCTTTCGTGGCTCGATGTCATCATTTCGTCGATCATCTGACACAGGAGACTCATCAGAGATTGTCTCATCGTCACTCTCATCAGAGGGAACACGTTCTTGGACCTGAAGTCGGTTTGAATTCGGTTTAACTTGAGAAATGTTCTTCCAAGCGCACTTTCTGCTCTAGAAACACCTTTTCTGGTGCACTCAATTCTTTTCCTTGCCATGAGAAAACGGGAGATTTGAGTACGCCAGAAAGTATGCTTTTTTGAACACAAAGCACGTTTATACGACAATAAACAAGCGGGGATCACCGACCGTGAGAAAATTCCGACCCTTCTTTGGGTCAAATGAGACGAGGGAGTGCAGAGGAGAAGGTTGGGGCACCGATTTGGAATGAGAATGGGGATCAGAGTGAAGAGATGGGTACTCGGGTGGCTGCAATGCGGTTTCCTTATCAAGCATGTCAATGGATCAATCTGTTAGACCGATGTTAGATTTATAGCTTCTGCAATGGACTGAGCTCAACAAGTCAGAAAAATCAATCCAAATGGTTTCGCTGATTTCGCTAGAGTGTATTTCTTTTCGAGTAATGCGTTTTCTAAAAGGCACCCATTTGAGAAAGTTTTCAGTCAGTTGTCAGCCCGATCAGCTCAATTTTTGGTATCATTCGATGAGGAATCACAAGGCTCAGTCAATGATCCCAAAAATGAGCTGATTGAATGAAAACTGATGGGCAGAGTACGGTAGTTTTCTTTAATAGATGCTTTTTAGAAAAGGTGAGGTAGAAAACGCATTATTTGTGTGGAACACACTAGTTCTTACAGTCAATCCTTAGTAGAGAAAGTACTAGGGGAACTGGGATTTCGAAACGAGAGCTCATTCAAATATTATGAGAATTTGTGATATTATTGTGAAAATTAGAAATATTATGGTGAAAAATGAAATGCAAAAAGATTCGGATTTTTTGGTGGAAGATTTTTGTGGTGGGGATTCGAACCCACCACAAAAAGACTCGATCAGTTTCGCAGACGATCACACTATCCACGACACAATGATTGTCGTTAAACAAGGGCGCGTAAACTCGAGTGTAAAGAAAAAATTTAGGAAACAAGAAATCTTTCGTTTACGAGTAATTCCGCAGACTTTGATTACAGATTCGGAATTCAAATTCGATTTTGTATCCAATGAGTTAGAGCTTTCTTCGAAATCTCACGATGATCTAGTACTTTTTACTTGTAAGAGCTAGATAAAGTAAATTTCGCTAGTAATTTTCCGCTAGTTCCCCTAGTAAAGCTCAATTGCACATTGCACAAAAGCCTATAAATTTATTGACCTGTGGATCGATCCGTTAACATGCTTGTTCCTTATCGTTTACGGTTTATTGGAAACTTTTTTTAGCTATTGGATAGCTTATTCAGCATACCAGATTTTGCAAAGATTTCTTTCTGACTATATTCAGAGTTGTTCCCAAAAAGCCAATTCAAGTCAGTCAAAGATCAACAATTTCCATGGCTTTACCTCGAAAATTGAGTCTAGAAGCAGACTTGTAGGAAATTGCAGAAAAACATAAGAGAATCATGCTTTCTGTGCTCATTTCATGCTTGATTTCACTCACCAAACGACTGTGACGATTCTGTCGATGATCGCGTGCTTTACGAAAAAGCCCGCTTTGTCGCTGGTCGATTTGATTTGGTGGCTTCGATCTTGCATTCTACGAAATTCAAGCATTCAGCTAATCGGTCTACGAGATTTACCTCCACGTTTTGCCCACCACTTTTCCGCTTTGAGTACTGTAGCTGGGTGGCTGGCTGCCGATTTTCCTGTGGATCCTAGGTTTTTGAAAAGCGATTAAGGTAAATAATTTGGATTTTAAGAATTTCGTAACTTTCTTTCACCTGTGGATCCTCATAATTTGCATTCGGAAACGCGTGAATGGGGTCTTGTCGATAGTTTGGCGACGTTCGCACTCCGTTCACGTCGTCTCGGGAGTCGTATGATGAGTTCACGTAGCCCGAACGAACCGATCTAAAAGATATTCAGCTATTGGATAGCTATTGGATAGCTATTGGATAGCTACTGGAGAGCTATTGGATAGCTTATTCAGCATACCAGATTTTCTTTTGAATATCTAAGCATGGTTAAGCAGCTGATTGGATATTTAGGTTTACCAATGAGCTTGAATCTTGCATCTGCCCAACTTTGAAAAGAAATTTTTTTTTGAACAGAAATTTGTGTTAATTCCATCTCTTTTTTCTTTTTCTATTCCTCCTTGTATTTCCTTTTTCTTCTCTTAGAAAGAGATACCGAATAGCTCAATGGTTAGAGCATTAGAAAGAGATATCGAATAGCTCAATGATTAGAGCATCTGGCTGAGCATCTTCTCCTGAAAGCAAAAGGCCGAGGGTTCAATCCCCTCTCTGGAATCTTTCTTTTCTTTATTGATAGTTACTTATTTTCTTTTTATCAACTAACCCTGTATCCAAAATTGATGGTGGAACTCGAGAAAGAGGACGACCGTTCGATCGTGGAATGCTTTCAATGGAAACGGTGGGCAATGAGTGCTGAAAGATAGACAAATCTTATAGTGAAGCTAACTTTGTGCTCAAAAATGTAAACCCAATCTTTCTGGTGCACTGCCCTATGGTAACAAACCTTTTTTTGCGATATATGAAGAGCTTGGTGCACCAGAAAGAGGGTTTACACTAGGACAGCCTCTCTTACCGTTTTCCCCTTTATTTTCCGCTTGTTTACATCTCTCTCACAAAGCATGAGAATCGTGGTGATCATGGTGGAGATGGCAAAAAGCATGTGCAGCACACATTGAGCCGCTTCCAAATGAGTGAAGCGGATTAGGCAATCGTCTGAAATTGGAAACGGTTAGATTTAGATAAATTTAGATACTCACTGTGGCGAATAGCCACTAAAAGTTATCTAACTCTGACAGCCTAAAAATTGGAAAAGTATTGAGGAAATCGGTGCGCCTTTATTCTATTTCGCGCCCCAAATCATTTATTGTTTTTTAGCTTGTTAGCTGAGTATCTTGTGTTAAAGCCTATATTGGTCTGTTGTTCATTTGTTTTTCGTTTATCTTTCATTTTTCTCTTTTTCATTATCTTTCATTTACCAAGCACGCGAACAATATTTCTTTACACTCACCCTGCACATAGAATGACTTTTGTAAATCGAAATGCGATGAGCATCCCGGTGTGTACTTGAGAAAAAACGAGAATGAGAGTGGTAAGCCGAAAGATAGGGGAATTGTGTAGTGGGTGGATGAGGGGAAGACATCCTCGTACCTGAAAAGTTAAGGATTTGTCGAATATCTTGTATTGTTATTAGATTCTCTTTTACGTGCATTCAAGCCTCTTACCATAATAACAACAAAATATTGTAGATTGTTGAGAGGAGACTCGTCACGATGAACACGCCGAGAAGCGCTCGTCTTCGCTGACAAACTGCGAACAAACCGATGATACAGCAAAGGATCTAAAAAGGATTTTTAGATTAGATTTTAGATTATCTAGCCACTGAGCTAGCCAGCCACTGAGCTAGCCAGCCACTGAGCTAGCCAGCCACTGAGCTAGCCAGCCACTGAGCTAGCCAGCCACTGAGCTAGCCAGCCACTGAGCTAGCCAGCCACTGAGCTAGCCAGCCACTGAGCTAGCCAGCCACTGAGCTAGCCAGCCACTGAGCTAGCCAGCCACTGAGCTAGCCAGCCACTGAGCTAGCCAGCCACTGAGCTAGCCAGCCACTGAGCTAGCCAGCCACTGAGCTAGCCAGCCACTGAGCTAGCCAGCCACTGAGCTAGCCAGCCACTGAGCTAGCCAGCCACTGAGCTAGCCAGCCACTGAGCTAGCCAGCCACTGAGCTAGCCAGCCACTGAGCTAGCCAGCCACTGAGCTAGCCAGCCACTGAGCTAGCCAGCCACTGAGCTAGCCAGCCACTGAGCTAGCCAGCCACTGAGCTAGCCAGCCACTGAGCTAGCCAGCCACTGAGCTAGCCAGCCACTGAGCTAGCCAGCCACTGAGCTAGCCAGCCACTGAGCTAGCCAGCCACTGAGCTAGCCAGCCACTGAGCTAGCCAGCCACTGAGCTATCTAGCCACTGAGCTATCTAGCCACTGAGCTATCTAGCCACTGAGCTATTGAATACCTTAACTTGCCAAGAGAAAGAGGAGAAGGCAAGGGGGAAGAAGAAAGGAAGAAAGAAAGAAGAAACACACTTAGAAGTTTACAATAAGACTAGAGTAATTTGCTTTAGTAAAATCAAAGTAGAAAAAAGTCAAGTAATCTACAGCTGTCTAAAGTAAACCACAGTTGTCTACAGTATTCTATAGCTGTCTACAGTAATCTACAGCTGTCTACAGCTGTCTACAGTAATCTAAAACTGTCTACAGTATTCTACAGCTGTCTACCGTAATCTACAGCTGTCTACAGTAAACTACAGTAGTCTATAGCTGTTTTACAGTAATCTACAGCTGCCTCACTATAATCTACAGTCTCTACACAGTTCTACTGTGGATTTTAATGGTTAACGGTTTTACAGGATAACTTTACGCACATTTTAAGAGATATTTTAAAACTTTAGACCCGTCTTTTCATAGTCCAGCTGGATTGTTGTGTTGTTGTTCTAGAGTTTCCCCCTTTGAACCCATCGCTTTCCCAGATGGCCTTCACCCACCTATGCGGCGGAAGTCCCAAATATTTGCATACCGATGTCGGGACTTCAACTCTCTTTCTCTCCTCCCCATTCCATTCTCTAACCCCTATCAAATATATTGTTCCCATCACATTTCCAAACGATTCCCCAATTCGATAAAAGGTTTTTAAAAAGAAAAGAGTGGAAGATTGACTTTTGGATGTTTCTTGAAATCAGAGAATCGCAAGAACGTGAAAAATCGATCGCCTGATCGTCAAACTCTTTTCGAATTTGCTTCTTCAATTTGCTGCTTCAATTTGAGCCCCCCGGAAACGCGAGAGAGAAATTTGAGATCAGTAGATTTCATTTCAGCCTAAAGATTTACGGTATTTCAGATATTTCAAAGATATATCTTGTGACTACAATAAGTACAAAGATACAAAGATTTTCTTCAGTTACTCAAATCGATAAAGGGAAGCTCTTGAAGGAAAGTCTGTGGAAAAAGTTTGTCTTTGTCTGGCATTCAGTTTGTCTTATTGTCAAGTTTGTCTTATTCAGTTTGTCTTATCGTCAAGTTTGTCTCATTCAGATTGTCTTATCGTCAAGTTTGTCTTATTCAGTTTTTCTTATCGTCAAGCTTGTCTGGCATTCAGTTTGTCTTATCGCCCTTGTCTTATTCAGTTTGTCTTATCGTCAAGCTTGTCTCATTCAGATTGTATTATCGTCAAGTTTGTCTTATTCAGTTTGTCTTATCGTCAAGCTTGTCTCATTCAGATTGTATTATCGTCAAGTTTGTCTTATTCAGTTTGTCTTATCGTCAAGTTCCAGAGCGTCAGTCTCTCGCTCGGAGACGTTCGCAGGAGGACGTTGGTTCGATTCCTCGAACCGTTTAAAAGAAGCCCTTGAAGGAAAGCGTGTGAAAAAGTATGGCATTCAGTTTGTCTTATGGTCAAGTGCCAGAGTACAACATTCAGTTTGTCTTGTGCCCGAGCCAAGTGCCCGAGCGTTGGCCTCTCTCTCAGACGCTCGCAGGAGGACGCTGGTTCGATCCCTCGTGTCGTTTTTTTGCAAAAACTTGAAGGGAAAGATTAGAGGAGGAAGAGGAAAGAGGGAGAGAACTTGACGCAAAACTTGGCATAACTTTACAAATTCAAAAAAATCCTGTAGTCTTTGTTCCGATTCCACTTCTGAAAACTTTTCACCAAAACACTTTACCACATTTTATTTACATTAGGATATCCAAAGCTCTCTTTCCCTGTCAGCAGCTAGTCGATACTCACTCTTCATAATCCATTGGGATTGGATACACCACTTATCGATCTGTTCTCTTCTCTTTTCTATGACTATTCCAATATCCAGGCACTCTAGCCATAATCCCCATCACTCTTATGGTAATTAAAGTACATAGAGAAATGGAATGTTATTTAGAACCAAAAGGGGATCAAAAGGCATCAAAAAGGACCAAAGAGGACCAAAAAGAACCAAAAAGGACCAAAAACAATCGCAATAATACGGTGGATCCAAGAAGCAGAACCAGCTATGATCCAAGAGAACCAAGCTCTCCTCAGCTCTGATCCAAGAGGCAAAGCTGAGGAGCTTCTACTGACTCCAAAAGCAAAGCTTCTACTTTTTAAAACTCTTTCAGCTTTCAACAGAAAGCTTTTTTAAAGTTTACTTTGATGGTAATTAAAGTACAGAGAAAGTACAGAAGCTACTCTTTCTAAATAAACTTTTTCTTCGCTGAAAACCCAACCCGCTTAAAACTCTCATCGCTCAAAGCTCAATTTATCCATTCTCTCCTCTCATGCAAAAAAACTAGCTTTAATTACCCGTGAATTTCACTCTCCTTTACCTGTAAATTTCATTCTTCATTTCTCTTCATTTCTTTTCTTTTCATTTTCCATTATTCGCTCTCGAGAAAAGTGAAATAAGAACTTTTATAAAAGAAAAATTTTTGCAATTTCTTGAAGAGAAGTTGCACAATTTTTTGAGCAAAACAAGAAGAATTTTGTGATGATTTTGGATTTCAAATAGACTGAACAATTGCTAGGAGTACTTTTTGCTGACAATTCAAACCAGTAACAGCTCCAGCTTTAGCTACAAGCTAAAAGACAAGCCAAAAGACAAGCCAAGCCAAAAGACAAGACAAGCCAAAAGACAAGCCAAAAGACAAGCTAAAAGACAAGTCAAAAGACAAGTTAAAAGACAAGTTAAAAGACAAGCTAAAAGACAAGTCAAAGGACAAGTCAAAAGACAAGTCAAAAGACAAGTTAAAAGACAAGCTAAAAGCTTATAAGCTTGAAGCCAAAAGCTTGAATTCAAGTACAGCTTAGGATCGATATTTTTCGGTAAAGATCAAGGAAATTCGGTATTTAGGGTTTTCCTGAATCGACTCTTCGTTTTTTTTTGTTCATTTAATTCTCCTAAAGTATTGGGGTCGATTTTGAGGGGTTTTAGAGTAATTTGTGGGATCGGTGGATGGGAATTTGTCGGAAATCCTTCGTGAATGACAATGGTTTTCCGACAAGATCCCCAAGGCCATTCTTTCTCTTTGTACTCTTCTTTTCCTCTTTTTCTTTCCTCTTTCTATTCAATAAGCCATCTCTCGTTTCTAAACATTTCCCTTTTCTCTTCTTGTTGTTGTTATGTGTGTCGACTGGTAATAATGAGTCGTTTGTGCTCGTCATCATCTTTCCCACTGAGAAACTCGAGTTTCTTACGCTTTTTCTGTCATTCTTGAAATAACACAAAATGTGGAAACTATTAGATTGGTGAATTGAAAACTGCCGGCTAAAAAAAGCATTGAAAAGCAACAGCATTGAATATTGCTATAACTATTCTAACTACAACTACTCATAAAAAAGCTTTACCAAACTTAAGATAAAGATTCAATTGTTGATGAAAAGCATGAAACGAAGCAGTCAGTGATTAAACATCCTTCAAACAAAGTCGTTGAACACAATAATGATGTATTGGATTGTTGAATTGAAAACTGCCGGCTATTTCGCGGGACTCGCAGATAAAAAACAACAACATTGAACCAGCTGAAAGGGGATTTGATTACTTCAACATTTCCTCTAATTATTGCGAAAAAATTATGCTTCCAATTTTGCAAAAAATTTTTATCTGCGAGTCTCGCGAACTAGCCGGCAGTTTTCAGTTCACCAATTCAATAGTTGAACTTTGATGAACTTGAATTTGAATTTGCCAGAATTTGGAAACGCCTTGAAAGAAAGGGCTCGAAAAGCTTCGTGTTCAAACTGTGTTATAGTGAAATGCCTGAGCATCTCTCACAAATCCGTCTCTCACTCAGAAGGTGCTGGTTCGATCCTATCCCTCACCATTTTTTTTGCGAAAACTTGGATCTGGTCAATTTGGTGGATCTGGTGTGGACTTCTGGCCTAACTAAACCAGCTAAAAAGTCAATCTTACACGGTTTTTGTTTAATTTCATTTCTAGCCTGATAGGGCCTGGTTTGTCTAACTTTAAGCCTAGCCTAGCTATTGCTAATCTGTCTGACCTAGAGCTGACCTAGAGCTGACCTAGAGCTGACTAAGCTGTCTGATCTAGAGCTGGCTAATTGGTTAAGCTGATTGAACTTTCCTGACATGGATTTGGCTCTGAATTGACTGATTTTACTGCTTCTGACTTCATCTACGTGTTTTGTTCATAATCAGCTAAAGTCTTGTGCCTAATTTCTCTAGAAATCGGTTGAAACATACATGAACTGGACTAGGAGATCAGTGGACCAGAAAAGGGGTGTTTCTGAAGGAACTAAATCGTTAAGAGTGACGAAAACTGTTTTCCGTTGGACGCACGTTGCAAAACAACACCAAAAACTCTTACAATCTCTCTTGGCAAAGAAAAAAAGACGCAAAAACGATGGCCGAAGAGGCCGAGAGACCGGAAGTGTCCAGAATTTCATTCCTCCGAGAAAACGATACATTGAGAATGAAAAGAAAGCCAAAAAGGATCCCCCATTGTTTGTTTGTTCTGTTCGACCGTTCTTTCCCAAAAATTTTCTTTATTCTTCTCTCATTGAGAGATCCGATGGCTTCTTGTTTCTCAAATTTCTCCAATGACTTCAATATTCCGATAGCTAAATCCATAGCTTCCTAATCGATAGATCAAAGTAGAGCCTGTACATTAAAGCTTGATCAGTTTGATTAAAAAAAATGAAAACTGGAATTGTAATTGCAATGAATGAATGCAAGGAATCAAATAGATTAGATTCAAATCGCAAAACGAACAAATTTTCTTAGAGAAACGATGATTTTTATAGGTTTTTATAGGCTTTTATAGGCTTTTATAGGTCTTTTATAGCTTTTATAGGCTTTTATAGGCTTTTATAAGCTTTTATAGGCTTTTATAAGCTTTTATAGGCTTTTCTAAGCTTTTATAAGCTTTTACAAGCTTTTATAGGCTTTTATAGGCTTTTATAGGCTTTTATAAGCTTTTATAGGCTTTATATTAGCTTCTGGCTAAACAACAGCTTCTGGCTTTTTGTTTATTCACAGAATATTTCTCTAATCTTGAGTAAATCTTTATGGCAAAGAGCACTTGGTGAATCCGATCCTATATTTGTTCATCCATTCACCTGGAGGCAACTCCAAGGGTCAGGGATAATATTTTGAGTAAACTTTAAGCATATCTAATATCTAATATCTAATAAAAAGCAATAGACAGAAAAAAATAGTAAAAAAAAATTTTAAAAAAAACACAGAAAAGATTTCAAAGAGAACTAAGAGTTCTCTTTGAAATCTTTTCTGTGATACAGTCGAACCTCGTTATTGAACTACAAAAAGGTTGCTAAAAAAGCGTTTACTATCGAGATTCGTTTGCTATCAAAATTAGTACTAAAACTCAAAGGAATCCTAAAAAATCCGGTTACTATTGAGGTTAGTTTACTATTGAGTTGTTGACTAACAAAGTTCAACTGTTGTTAGAATTTACTAGCGAAAAGAACGAACTCAAGATGAGCTTTTGTCTCGACACCCAGTGCACTTTATAAAATCGGATACGAGGAATCCGAATCTGAAATCAAAATCTCCCAAATGACTTTCCAGGCTTCAATGAAAAATTGGCGTCAAAACGAGGGTTTTAAAACGATTCCTCCTAGCGAAGAGAAGGTAGTGGATAATGGATAATGCATAATTATCCAGCCTAGTGGATAATGCATTAGGTTTCCCCCCGACAGGACCATGGTTCGATCCCTGATTTTTTTAACTTTTTAAGACTTTTTTCCCCACCCGAATCCAATATTTGAAACAAGTTTTTCCCTTTTTTTCAGCATACACCTGTCCTTGCAAAGAAAAGATGAAAAACTTAGATAAAAGCTTTCTTTTTCTCTAAAGGAATGTGGAACAAGTCGATTCGAATCTCAAATATATTCAAATCAATGGAAAAATGGGGAAAAAGAAATGCAGATTTTATGCCATTTTCATACATCGAGATGACAGAAAGGCGAGATTTTTGCGAGATTCTCATTGTCAAATGGAAAAAGAAAGAAAACGGGTTGAGATTTTTGAGTGAAGAGAATCCGGGAAAGCAAAGGATTTCTTTTTTTTAGTTGGATATTCAGTTAATGGATTGAAGATTCAGTTAATGAAGATAGAGCTTCAGTAAATGAAGACAGAGCTTCAGTAAATGGATTGAAGATTCAGTTAATGAAGACAGAGATTCAGTAAATGGATTGAAGATTCAGTTAATGAAGATAGAGCTTCAGTAAATGAAGACAGAGCTTCAGTAAATGGATTGAAGATTCAGTTAATGAAGATATTTTTTTTTGTGTTTTTTTTTTTCTTTTATTGAGATTAGAGCTTCAGTAAATGAACAGAGCTTCAGTAAATGGATTGAAGATTCAGTTAATGAAGATAGAGATTCAGTAATGGATTATAGATTCAGTTAACGAAGATAGAGCTTCCGTTAATGGATTAAAAGCCAACCTATCGACTTATTCAGGGCACACACAAGTAGGGCTTGAATCCGAGCAAAAGATTGATAGACTCAGTAAAAAGCATAGCCGCAATCGATTCCCCGGCCACGAAAATCCTCGGGTACAAATTTAGAGCTGAATATCTCTTTTTTGTACCAGGTACAAAGTAAAGTCTGGCCGGGTGCTCCTTGTGCGCGCGCACAATCGCTCTCCATCTGGCACACCCTTCCGATAGATAGGTTTGGCCTTTCGCAATTGGAAAACTCAAAAGATACGGCGTCACTTTCAAACCTTCGAGCTACAAAGTGCGATCCATTTATTCAACTTTATTCTATCCAAATTCTTGGAAAGAACGATGAACGAGTGAGCGGCTTTCGGCCTTTGGTATGCTTCATTTTTCAGATTTTATTTTTAGTGAGTCATTCAATCAAAATTTGTCTAGATATTCTACAATCTTGGAAACAAAACTAACTGAAATGACTCGAGGTTGGATTGACAAAAGTTAATTTACAAGTAAAACGTTTTTAATATCTCAGATATTCAAAAAGATTGTCTAGTGGAGTCATTTTTGGCTTTGATTTGCACAAAACCGATTCATCTCTTTTTTTCGGAATCCAGAAAATACTCTCTTTATGGAATAGCTCAGAGTTGATGGATTAAGAATTTAAGGTTTCAGAAATTGTTCAAATGTTCAAATTGTTCAAATTGTTTAAATTGTTTAAATTGTTCAAATCGCTCAAATTGTTCAAATTGTTCAAATCATGAAGTAAAATTGATTGAATCAAGATTGAAGAGTTTAGAAAAATATCAAAAAATTGAAGATAACGAGAATTTCTTTAGAGAGAACTTCTTTTTCTTTAAGAATGAAAGCACTCACTTGCAATAAGTTGAAGATAACTGGTAGCCAGAGTCGTCCGATTAGATCGAAAGCTTGTCTAGCTAACGCCAAGCACAACCAAATCGAGACAAGGCCAAGGGTGGGTGTTGACCATTGATTGCTAACATTTTCACTCATTCCTTTTCCCAAAATGGGAGAAATTTGAAAGAAATTTCGAATAAATTTAAGTAGATCGGCTTTCGTTTGAGCGCTGAAATTGTTTTAATGAAGAAAACAAAGAAAACAAAATACAAAACATCAATGAGTCAAAGAATGGTTTAAAAAAATGAGTTTAATAGTTAGGATAGTAAATAGCTAGTGGATACATTCGCTCTACTTTGTTTTGAGTGAGCGACGCGATGAACTGTGGAGAGGGATGAGGGTGGGACTTGGAAGCAGCGCAAACCCCATCTCTCCGATCGCCCCGGGTGTCCTCTGTCCTTTCCCTATCCTCCTGTCTTTTCTCTGTCTTCTCCTCACTTCTCTCTCTTTAAACCTGCGCAAATAATTAGGTGCACCACTGTGCATTCTGTTGAGGTGAATGAGGGAAAGAGTGAAATGTTATGAGAAAGAAAAGAGGCCGTTGAAAGTGAGATCGGTCTTCTTCTTCTCCTTCTTCTTCCTCTTCTTCCTCTCCTTTTCCTTCTCCATCCTCTTCTTCTTCTCCTTCTTCCTCTCCTTCTTCTTCCTCTTCTTTTTCTTCCTCTTCTTCTTCTTCTTCTTCTCGATTCTTTCTCGATCCCAATTTCGACGAGAACGCTTAAGTTTTTTGAACCAAAGCGCTAGAGATTATGGTGAAAAGAGCTGGAAAGTGTTCTAAAAATACTTTCTTTTAAAGTAATTGGTGAAGATAGTTCTTGGCCTGATGAATTGTGGGTAAGGCTGATTCAACAACCTTTACTTTCCAAACTTGTTAAAAGCAGAAATGCAAAAACAATTCTCCCAGACCGGGAATCGAACCCGGGTCTCGCATGTGGCAGAGGCGGATACTAACCACGCTACCTACTGAGGAAGTTGTTGACGGTGATAGAAGTTGACTCATAAAGGTCACCAGTTCAAAAGCAGTCAAATCTGAAATGGTTCAAATCTACTTTTGCATCTTTTCATCAACCTAAATAAGATAAATGTAAATTCCAGGATTTCTCTTGTTAGATAACGATAATTTCCTAAGCCTAAGCCTAAGGAATTATCTATAATATAATTATAGTATACTAATTATGGTATCAGACAAGTCTGATACTATAATTAGTTCGATCTTTCATCTTTCAATACAAATGTCGAAAGATGAGACTTCATTGAAGTGAAAATCTCGATTCTGGTCAATTTATGTGCATTCTGGGCATCAATCGGGTTGTTAGATCTTTCATAAACGAGTTTAAGTACCTAGATACATCAACTTCTGTCTATTTCCAATCAAACTCGTTCACAAAGTGTTTAGAAACAATTTCCTACTTAAAAAGAGTGTCTCAGGCTTTAAAAAGGCTAACTTATGAATGAAATAAACCAGTTAGAATGCTAGAAAAAGAAAATGTCTGGAAAAATCTTTACACTGTTACAATGTTACAATGTTACAATGTTACAATGTTACACTGGTACACTGGTACACTGGTACACTGGTACACTGGTACACTGGTACACTGGTACACTGGTACACTGGTACACTGGTACACTGGTACACTGGTACACTGGTACACTGGTACACTGGTACACTGGTACACTGGTACACTGGTACACTGGTACACTAAATCTTTGTTACACTAAATCCCTAAGAAGAATTCAGGAAATCTTTATCCAATAGGCTTTCTAAATCCCTCAAAAGTCAAACTGACGGGTCTCTGAAAAGATTGGAAGAACTTTCCAATCTTTTGAGAGTTCATTGCCCTATCTGACCATTTCAAATTTTCCCTTTCTTCCAAAAAAACATCATTTCGCTTATCTTTCCCGGAATAAAGCAAACACTTTGAAATCGGGAAATCCCCAATAAAAATCTGCAATTTCGTGGACATTTGACTTGAAGAAGTGGAGTGACAATGACTTTCATTGAGTTTCAGTGATTGATAAATTCAGTGATTGAGAAATTTTAGGTAATGAGCTTGTTATGCATAACAAATTCTCTCAATCTTTTAGCTTTCATTTTAGTTAAAATGCATTTACCAGCTACATTTGTGCCAATGAATAAGATAATTTATTCATCCAAATGAAAAGTCTTAAAGCCAAAAAGGCTCTAACAAGTCTCTAGAACTGTTAGAGTCTTGTTAGAGTCTTGTTAAAGCCTTCTTAGAGCCTTCTTAGAGCTCAAAATGCCAATTTTCTTATTCGAGTTTTTCAAAGAGTAAAACAAATCACCAGAAGTCATTTCAAGACCAAAAATTTACTTGTGTCAATCTCGAGTAAAATCTAACCAAGCTCAACCTTGGCTTTTAATCTGGACAAGCTTTACTCGGAAAAAAGTCCTTTGGAACATCTTCGTTTGTAAATCTACCGTGTTGGACAAAATTATAAGACATTGGAAATTTATGAAGACTGATGATCAAACTAGTTTAGCAAAAGAAGGGAAGAACTATGGAAGGGTTCCTAAAAGATCGTTCACTATCGAGGTTCGTTCGCTATCGAGATTCGTACTAAATCAACTCAAAGGGATCCTAAAAAATTTGGTTACTATTGAGGTTAGTTCACTATTGAGGTGTTCACTAAAGTTCAACTGTTGTTAGAATTTACTAGGGAAAAGCACGAACTCAAGATGAGCTTTTGAGTTTTTGTTCCAATCTCGAGTAAAATCTAAACAATCTGAACACTTTATATCTATTAGATTGAAAAGAAAGTTCTCGGAAAAAGTTTGCACGGTGATTTCTCAGAAATCAATCCATAGATTCTTCCCAGTTTTTTTTGATAAACTTGACTTTATTTGAAAAACAGAAGAAACTATCGCTAAACAATTGATGAGAACACTGAGAAAGGATCGAACAAAGGCTTGAATCTTAAGCTCTTGTCGAGTTTCTGGCTATTTTCAAAGTTTTCGGGTATTTTGAATGAGAACGCTTTGAAGGCCTATAACTTTGTTCAGAGGTACTATTTTTGTCAGCTTTTTATATTAGATTGAAAAGAAAGTTCTCGGAAAAGGTTTGCACGGTGATTTCTCAGAAATCAATCCATAAATTCTTCCCAGTTTTTTTGATAAACTTGACTATATTTCACAAAGTTTCTAACAAAAAAAAACAGAGTGGGCTTCAGGCAAAAAAAATAAGAGATTTCTTCGGCTGAAGCTGACTTGGTTACTTTTTGGTTGACCAGACTTTAGACAAGCTTTTAATGGGCTAATGAATAGGCAATTGGTCCTATAGCCTAAAATGAATTACTTAAAATAAGGAGAATTTGTGATTAAGGCAAATTTGATGATCTAATGCTTTCACTTTTCACAAATCACCTATTTTTATCAAACAAAATCAATGCCAAGAAGATGACACCGAAAAAAAAAGTTAGTTTTTGAGGTACAGCTGAAATATAGCTTTAAATTTTAGCTAAAAATAGAGATTATAAAGCGTATTGCACATTTATGCTAGCTTGACTTCATAAGGAATCGTTTTTCTGTACTGGAAATGAAATAGAAAATAATAGAAATGAAGAAATGTTGAGACAACTGCGTACAGGAATTGAAATTAACGGGACTTTAGTTTGAAATGACATGTAATAAATAGTAGCGAGAAACGAGAAAGCACTCTGGGTACCCATGAACTCTGGAGGGGTATCCTTTTTAAGAAATTCCAATCAATTTCAATCAATTCCAATCAATTCCAGTCAATTATCTCATAAAAAATCGTTTTTCTGATGCAAAAAGTAAGCTGAATTTAAGCTGGAAAATAAGAATTTTTCAAAAAAATCTCGAAAATTAGGGAAAAGAGATAGGGAACCAAATTTAGAGAGATAGGGAACCTACAGAAAGCTTCATTCATTTTTTTACGAGTAATTTCTTAGAGTCAACTTGTAAATAATAGAATAAAATCTTCTTCAATTGGTGGATTCATTTTTTAAAGAAATTCTAGTGAAACTTTTTTACCGAGAACTTTCTTTCCAACCTAATAATTTGCATGGTAGAAAACTAAAGCTAGCTATTGTTATTGCCAAAGTAAAGAATGACCAAGAATTACCGCAACACGCAAAAGGCCTGGCTTTTAACCAAAATAACCAAACCCATCTCGAAAAGTTAACTTAAATATCTTTATTCAACAAATAACAGTAACAAATTAACAATTAAATTCAATATTTGCCTCCATCGGCATTCAGACAAGCTTGCAAACGCGTGGCAAGCAAATAAGCATCATCACCATGCTTTGATGAGCGCCTTCTTCAAACTTTCGATATTTTTATCGTGGTTTTGCACATGCCCTGGCTTCAAGAACACTCCAGACTGAGTAATCCAATGGGTTAAGATCGGGTGAGCTGGGTGGTCACTCAGAATCTCGACGACAGTCCGAGATGAAGTCCGTGAAGGTCTTTGAACAAAACTCTTGCACTTTCTTTGCCTTTTGAGCCGGCCATAACTCAACCCGCTAAGGTACCGGACGGCCAGGATATGGCGGGCAATTTGACCAGGACAATTTGACCAGGACAATTTCATCATCTTGTTGAGAAGTCCAAATTCGATTTTTGAAGTGGCGTTGAGCCCACGGAACAACCTCCTTCTTTAGCAAGTTCAAATAATGGCAAACGTTTGGGAAACGCGTTGACCGTGGCGAGCAAATAAGCATCATTGCCATACTTTAATAAGCGCTTTCTTCAAACTTTCGATATTTTTATCGTCGTTTTGCACATGCCCTGGCTTCAAGAACACTCCAGACTGAGTAATCCAATGGGTTAAGATTGCATGCAAACAAGAATGGGTATTTTCATCTTTAAAAAGAATCACCTAATCATCTGTTGACCGACCTTCGACTGACGCCGTCCCAACGAGTCGCGGATCCACGGCTCGCGGTCGTATGGCTTTAAAACAAGGCTTGTATGCTGATTAAATCACAAACTATAGATGCAAATTTCGATTAAATAATGTTTAGATAGTACAGAGTGACCAAGAATTACCGCAACAAAAGGCCGCACACACAAAATGCCTGGCTTTTAACCAAAATAACCAATGGTTATTTTTT